CAGAACAATAGGAACAACAGATCTGTTGAAAACCCATAAATACCAGCTCCATAGATGCTGCCAAATGTTGCAAACAACCATAAGTGATTTACAATAATTCCTAATATACTAGACAGGATCAGTAGTGTTGTACAAAAGTTCCTAATATGTTAAAGCTCCTAACCAGTAGTGTTGTACAAAAGTTCCTAATATGCTAGAGCTCCTAACCAGCAGTGATGTACAAAAGTTCCTAATATGCATAGATCACTTCACCAAAGTACTCTACAAAAGTTGTCTTCCATTTGCAAAGACTGTCATCAAGAGTGCGTCTGAATGACAGATAGACAAAAACCATGGGTCTCTTTGCAAAATAGAAAACACATGACCTGTTATAAACTTATACAGCTACATATCCTAACTTTCTTCAATTTGACAGCATATCAAGAACAAGGGTCAACCTGTTTCCTTCGTCCAGTTCATAGAAACTCTTCAAATCTGACGGTGTGGCATTGAGTCTCCTAAATCCCTGCACCTTCTGTAGTTGGGTGAGGCCCTCGAGCTTGTCCAAATATGTCATCAACTCCTTTCGCATTTTATCATGCTCCTCACTCTCTCCTAGAGCTCTAGAAATTGTGTCAAATGACTCCTTGATCAGCGGCCTCATTAGTGCCATTTCATTAGACATTTCAGGGCCATTATCATCATATTGGGCTACTGGACCTTTCTTCTTCTTTGATGATTCACCATGGGTAGTCTTGGCTGGTCTCTTCTTCTGGTTCTGATTCTTCTCTGCCACACCCTCATTTATGATATTAAACATGTCTTCATCCGTTGCAGGAGGGACCATACCATCCATAAAGAGCGGATGGTCTTCATCATCCTCCGAGCCACTATCAGAGGCATCAACATTAATATCTGGATCATTTCCTGTATAGTTAACTACGTTAGTATGAACACAACAATAAACATAAATAAGAAACAACCATATTAATTCCAAATGACAATTCTGGACCTGAGATTCCTCCACTTCCGGTGGCACGTCCATTGGCGAACACCGGTGCAAGGTCATCGAATTGTTGGAATGGAAGTCCCTTATGGCTTTTACAGGTTGGTTTTGCTTCAAAGTATAAAAAGAAGTCAGCAATAAATACAAGTACACCTACCAACCAAACATCAAATTTTTGTCATTAAAATCAAAACATAAATGACAGGACATACCGCAGTGAATACGTACCAAACTGCCTTGTCTGCATTTATATATTCTTGCACTGGATGTCTGGATCCCAACCAAATTCGCTTAGCCCACGCATCATGACGGTCGAATGAAACCAGTGTTTCAGCTTCTTGAACCTATTCTGAATCGTAGGCTTTTCTTTTAGACCACATCCGGGCACTTTCTTCTCCATCATCTTTTGTATCTGCTTAAACACACCGTTCTTGCAAGTTCCATTGGTGATGAATCCTCTCTCTGTCAGCTCCAGCAAACATTCCAGGAAGGGACCATCATGGGCTGTATCCTAGAAGTTGTATTCTGCTTTGGAGTCATCTCTCGTCTCCCCAACAACTTTCTTTCTCCTCCCCATAACTGAAAACATTCATACATGACATGGCATTTCTCAATGGCAGAATATAAGCATGTAACTCATTTTCACTAGTAATAGCACGCAAAAGTGAGATAAACATAGCATAAGATAAACAGTTGGGCAATTTAAACAACATTACAAACCATGTTTTGGAGACATATGTCCTACATTACATATTAATAAACTGACAAAATGGACAACTTGGTAGCATTCAATGTTTCTTCTACCTTATCTACCAAACAAACCATAAAGTTCAGCACCCACCCTATTGCTCTGCCAAAACATGAAAAATTACAAAAGGTACCAAAACAAATCATAACATGTCTATCTATTTGCCCACATAGTAGCGGCCTTTTCATTGCGAAACTGGGTCCATTGTACCGGTGTCAATCGGGCGGGTTCGGGCTGGGTTCAATCGGGTTCGGGTTCAATCGGGTTGCGGGTTAGTCGGGTTGCGGGTTCATCGGGTTCGGGTTAGTCGGGTTCGGGTTCAAACGGGTTGCGGGTTAGTCGGGTTGCGGGTTCATCGAGTTCGAGTTCAATCGGGTTGCGGGTTCATCTGGTTTTCGGTCGGGCGGGTTGCGGGCGGATCGGGTTTCGGGTTGTTCGGGTCAGCGCATCAAGTAACTTAACTCATTACTCATTACCAACTTACACATTTTATTATACTAATTTAAAATATTTTCTCAACTTTCTAACCAATTTATTTCTACCTCGTATATATATACTTTATTTTTTTGAAAAAATATAGTCAAAATGTTAAATCAATTTGTATGACTTGCAAACTTGTTATGTAATTAATCATAATTGGTAAATTATTATAGCTAATAGTAATGGTGATATCAATATTTGCAACCAAAAGACACCATTAATTGTTTATTTGATATTTTAGTATTAATTCAGTAGTAATTGGATTAAAGTATCTCGTTTAGTATAACCATGCAAATCTGGTATTTGGCGTGTGGTATTTGGCAAAAGCATAGTGATAAAAGGATTTATTTCGAAATAACTCATTGCCCAAATAACTTCAGTAAACTGTTGTCAAACGAGTTATTTGTAAAATTGTTCGAATTATCCTAAAAATTGAACCATTAAAGATTAGCTATCAAATTTAGTAAAATTATTGTGACTTCAATCATAACTTACTCAATAGCATATATCCTATACACTTAGCCTTACCCTCAATCAACAATATTAAGTTAGTATATGTTGTTGACTGTATACCCTAAACCATCAATACATTATACACTAACCACATAACATATACCCTATACCCTAACCATATGTCTTTGAGTTGTGATTTTGCTAGTATAGTTAATTTAAAAGTGAAATTCATACTTTGATTTTCAAAACATAAATAAAAAGTGATATTTGCTAATTGTTATACCCTAACCATATATCCTATACTTTACACCACATACCTTGTATCCTAACCACGTACCATAAACATAAATTAAAAAGGGATCTCCTGCCGTTAAAGACTTCAAATGACTTCAAGTGAACATATGTTAATAAAAAACTTGGAACCGTCAAAACCATCAATATCTTATACCCTAACCATATACACCATAAACCATATGTACCTTATACCCCATACCCTAACCATATACTTTATATCCTAAACGACGAACCGTCAAAGATTACTTATCAAGTTTTGTATAAATTGCTGTAACTAATGGTTAAATTATTTATTAGCCCATAACTAGTCATGCCCTCCATATAAAAGTTAAAGATTCACATTTCAAAAGCTAAAATTATGAAAAACCAAAAAATTGAAAACACCAAATTTTGTTCCTTCTTTCTTTTCACAAAAATACTAAAATTTCCCTCCTTCTTTCTACTTCCATACATTAGAAAACTCAATTTTCCCTCATCTTTCTCTTCCATAAATTGAAAGAACCAAATTGGAAATTAAAAAATAATTTCCCTCCTTCTTCCTAGCACTACAGGAAAATTGATTTCTAGTGACGGGATCTTATTCACGCGGAAGTTTCCCGTGTTAAAAACAATACTAATAGTTACGGTAAAAAGTCCTGTAATTAATTATATACTTCTAGTCACAGGAATTTATTTATTAAATTTTTAGTATTCATTTCCTGTGATTAATGATTTATCGCCGATAATTTCGGTGAACAATTGTGGTAATTTCTTTCGTAAAAAATTGCGCTCCAAATTGTAAGAGGGAGATTTAAGTTTTTTCCCTCCAAACTTTCATTGCCTCCAAAAATTTTGTTTGGCTCCAAAGATTTTAGAAAAAGTGAAACAAAAACTTCACATTGTAAAGAAAGAAATTTTGGCTCCCAAAATAAAAAACGAAACAATTCTCTTTAAAAAAATTCCCACCAAAATGAAAAAGTTTCCCCCCACACATTTTCCCCCGCCCAAAATTTCCCACCCACAAAATTCTAAACCAAATTAACGGGTCGTTTGCTTCATGGATTTGAAAAATGAGGGTTTTGGTAAAACCTGGGTTTTGGAAAACCATAGATATATGATGGATTTGGTGGCATGATGGATTTGAACAAGTCTATTGTTTGCTTGATGGATTTGATTATGGACTTTGTTTGATTAGATTTATGGATATTAAATACAAATTACCTAGTTACCCTTATTTAATTATATTTTGATATTCTAATCCAAATCTTTCATTTAAAACTAATCCAAAACATAGAAAGAAATTTTAAACTCTTTACCACTATGTGGATTAATAATTCAACTACAAATATAGAAATGTATTACAATTTGGCACTAATTAACAATTCATCTAATAATGTACGCAATATTATGTATCAATTGCAGCCAATTGCTCGCTTTATTGATACAACTCATCATCTTCTTGCTAACTCATCATCTTCTTGATAAATTCTCATATTTATAAAATACGAAATTATAAAAGTTTACAGTTGCATGACCATTGAATTAAAGTAAGACAAATTTGTAATTAAAGAAATAATTAAGGATAGAAAGGTAATTTACCATCATGGATTTTAATCCATCACCCAAATCCCACCTCAAGAGGTGGAACTTCCAAGTCCGTGGGGTCCACGGATTTGGAACCCAAAAGAGGTGGGCCCCACAAATTCCATCTCCCAAATTCCCTAAGGCAAACGATGGATTTTGGTTCAAGTCCATAATGGATATATTTCCATGACCAAATCCATCACCACAACCCTCAAGCAAACGACCCCTAAACTCTCGTTCTGTCTTCCTTTCCCAGATACGAAGAAAAGCTTCCTTCTTTTCATTCTCTCGTTCTCTCTTCCTTTTGCAGAGATAAGAAAAGTTGGATCCTTCTTCTCTACTTCTCTCTTCCTTTCCTAGAGTCAAACTCCGCCCAAATAAAAGATACAAACCGAAGGTAACCTAATCTCCCTCTTCTTTACTCAATCTGATTTCTCCCTACATCTCTTTTCCGGGTCGATTGTACGATGGGATTTATGGGAATGAAACGACGCCAGTGGCTTTTGCTGAGGTAAGACGAACTTAATAAAACCTAATGCATGCTCGATTTTGATTCATTTATTGTTGGTTCTTAGGGTTCTAATCTACTTTTTCTATTTTTCTTGATTTGTCTAAGGGGCATTGACCGTGGAAGGAAGCACGCTGACTTTGGATATCTCCGGCAGAGAGGCCACCTTGCCGTGGAGAGGCTTTCGGCTCTAAACCTCGAGGAGGAAGGAGTCATCCCCGACGAGTACTTCTGATGAAAATAATGGTGGTTAGGACATGCACAACTTTTGGTTGGTTTGATTTTAGGAATCTAGGTCATAATTTCTCAATTTCTGTCTAATTCTATAGCAGGAGCTTCAGCTAACAGCTTCACCTAATTTCTCTTAGCAATATAATAAGCTTACACACTGTATGCAGAGGGCAATTTCGCCTAGGTCAGGCAGTGGAGATGTTTTGTGACACTGGGCGGATCAGTATGGCTGCATGATACAACAGGTGCGATTACTGTGTGGTTTCTTTTTTCACTGTCATCAACTAACCCTAATTGCCCTTCTTTGTTTCAGGAAATTGTTGATTGTATCAATCAGAAGTAAATATAGATTGATTTTCACTATCATCAACTAACCTACCATATGCACTAATTGATTCTCAATTTCACGAGAACAAATATTAGGAAAGAGGAAGGGCCAAAGTGGTCGAGCAACTAAAGTAATTACCAGAAGGTAATGAATTGAATAATGCTTACTGCCAGAGAAGATATCAGGTATGGAATCTCTCAACTTTACAAGAAAGTAGCATGCCCTGTATTTACAAAGGCTGCTCCCCTGTTTCTTTTCTTGACTAGGAATTCTTTTGCGTGCCTTGCTGTATCAGTGATGATGTTTACATTGTGGGGCTGGATCGCATTTGCTACCAGACTTGGTAGACATGGAGGCCAAGGTCATGGTGGCTCACATAGGCAGCAAAGATCCGCAGTCGTCTATTGAAGTGCAAGAGGCCCCGTTGGTGATGGTGGTCAATTTGGGGTTTTCCCAATTCGCGTTAAAGCTTGATATGTGTGTCATTATGTGCGTTAATTTGATCAAGGGTGTTATATATAAAGTGCTAATGTGCGTTAATCTCAGAAACTATAGTCTTTTTGTTTGATGACATAGAGTAAGAAACTATAGGTTTTTCCTTATAAGCCGACTCTATAACCTATACCCTAAACCCATAATAATTTGAATTTTGATTGATGAACATGTGTTAATAAGAAAAGTTGATCTTATTAGTTATGATTTTGACTAATAATTGTTAAACCATTAATACCTTATACCCTAACCCATTAGACTAACCATATACCCTATACATCGACTCTATAGTCTATATACCTTAAACCTCTAATGGTTTGATTCATGAACATGTGTAATAAAAAACTCAGATTCTTATTAGTTATAAGTTATTATTTTGAGTTTTCGACTAATCGTGCCTAAAACATTAATATCTTATATCCTAACCCATTACACTCATTATAGATTGATGATGTATATTATTATACTAAGTCAATAATTGATGATGTAATGATCAGACTTTAGTGAACTAGAATTTCAAATGTCAACTTATGGTTTATTTTCATCGAATTCCTTCTATTATAGTCGAGTTGCGGGTTGGTCGGGTTACAGGTTCGGGTTAGTCAGGTTGCGGGTTGGTCGGGTTGCGGGTTAATTGGGTTGTGGGTCGATTGGGTTGTGGGTCGATCGGGTTGTGGGTTGGTTGGGTTGCGGGTTGATCGGGTTGCGGGTCAATCGGGTTGCGGGTCGGGCGGGTTACGGGTCATTGACTTTTAGTAAAATCGGGTTGCGGGCGGGTTGCGGGTCGGGTTGATCGGGCGGGTTACTCGGGTCGGGTTACATTTTGACAGCTCTACGCACGGTTGCATGCTACTACCATCAATGGTCTCCACATGAATTGAAGGAATCTGTTCGGGCTCTTCGTCCTGGTAATTTCTTTCAATCTCATCAACCCCATATTCCTTCTTGATAAAATTATGTATTATACAGCAAGCTATAAATATTCGGGACACTTGCTCTGGAGTGAACCATGTTGCATTTCTCAAAATGGCAAATCTCATCTTCAGAACTCCGAAAATGCGCTCTACTACATTCCTAGCAGATGAATGTTTCATGTTGTAATACTCCTCAGCTGTTTCAGGTTGCCTATTACCCCAATCTTTGAGATGGTATCGTTGACCCCTATATGGGGTCAAAAATCCAGGGCTGTTTGCATACCCGACATCACATAGATAGTAATTTCCTTCATTCAAAAGTATATATAAATTCAGTTATGCTATTCATTGAACAATATCAGACGTAAGTTCCATTGAACTATATTCAAAATGTTGTACCTTCAGGCACAACAAGGCCATTTGGTCTAGTGAGAGCATCCCGAAGCACCCTACTGTCATGAGCACTATCCTCCCAACCAGCAAGACAGTATATGAATTCCAAGTTGGGAGTGCAAACACCTAGGACGTTCATAGAGATTTCACACTTCCTATCTCGGTATCTAGGTTTGTCCTCAGTCAACAGGCGAACATGAATATGGGTTCCATCTAGGGCTCCTAGGCACTTCTATTAACAAAAACAAATAGGTGTTAAAATATAATGTTGTTAAACATAGCAAAGTTGAATAAAAAGATTGAAAAAACATAAAATTTGACCTTAAAATGCTTCCACCTACTGCTGGTACAGTTGTTAGGAATATGAACCGGCTTCTTCATCAGCAGATTGTTCAATCTAATAACAGCCTTCAGCACACGATGAATTGATCGAGATATATAGTCTCACCAGATCGTCGCAAATTCAATTGCAAAGTCCTATTCTTTTCGTTATGTGAAATGGTACGGAGAAAGGTATAAACCATCTCAACAATGTCTACGTTCCTAGTTTTCTTCAACCCTCCTTCTACAATAAGAACCTCAAAAAACCTTCTAAATAAATAATGTATGATTCATCCTGACTTGGTCAAAGGTATAGGTGTCACTTAATCTGGTTGTGTTTCTAAGGTGCCTTTGCCTATCATAGTGCCTAACCAAGTAGCTATCCAATGGTTGCCTAGCAAGTCGAGGTCTAGAGTGTCGTTTCTCTAAAATTTTAGCCAATTCCATCCCTAGACTCACATATATCACAATCAGATTCATGAAAGCGCTAATTGCAGCAACCACTTGTCGCCTACGCATTGGATTAAATGCGGACAAACGCGACATCCCTTACAAGACAGGAAATTTTGAATTAGTCATTTACATGAAATCCATAACTTTTATGGAACGTCTGACTAAGCTTCCCGATGGTTTGCATTAAACAATATCTAGTGTTCCAAAAGCCAGATTGAGAAGACCGAGCCATTTCACGAACATTGCAGAAAAGCACCCAAAACCAAATTGAAAGGGAACTAGATGGTTCCATAACAGCAGTAAGTGGTTCCATAACAGACCAATAAATATAAATGCCCCAAGAAACAACAACAGACCAATAAATCGACATCACAAATGGTTCCATAACAACAGACCAAGTGAGTTGCCAAGAAAAACCCTCGGCCAAAGCTGAGAAGGAGAGCGCATCACAACACATAAAAATGAACCAAACAGAATAATCAGGAGAACAACACCCTAGTTTCAGATTAAATGTACGCAAACTCCATAGATATAGGATATCTGATGAATCCTTGTATTTAAAACCCTTTTCTAACCCTAAATCGGAAAATACTTTTGTGGAACATGGCAAGACAGGGGGAGGAACACGATACGAGAAATAGAGAAGAAGATTCACTCACCGACCCTAGCAGACGATCCGCTAACTCCGACAGCTTCCTTGTGCTAATACCAGTGATTGCTATGTTCACTCGTGAGCGGTTCGCCTGGAAAGAGTGACGGGAGCAAGCAGAATGAGAAGAAAGAAGAAGCCTAAGGGGAGTCTGTCTCGAAATGATGCAAGCAAGGACAAAGTGGGGTTTCCAAAAATAAGCAGGGACAGAACTGAAATAAAAAAGCCCTTAAAATGCATTATTTATGAATAACTCCTCCCCATGTGGTATTCTAAATACTGCATTTATGAGATATTTATAAATAACTCATGATCAAATAACGCATCTCATTTTTTCTTACCCAAACAAATTATTTCGGCCGGAATAACTCATAATGAGTTATTTTGGCCGAAATAACTTGTTTGAATACCCCATCCAAACGACCCCGAAAGAAAATCATAAATATTTGTAAAGCACACCAAAAAACCTTTTAATGTGAACCATAAATCTTCTGAAGCAAACCAGAAACATTATAAAGCATACCATAAATATTTCTAAAACACACTAGAAATCTCCTATTCCACATCACAAATACGGTAAAACAAACCACAAAAAACATATCAGAAACCTCTCAATGCATACCACAAATCACATAAAACAAACCAAAAGTCCCACAAAACAAAGCACAAATATTTCATAATCACACCACAATCCTCATAATGTAAACCACAAACACGGTAAAGCAAACCACAAAAAGTAAACCAGAAACGTCCCAATGCAGACTAAAAATCTCTTAAAATAAACCAGAAACCCCACAAAGCAAACCACAAAAATTTGTAAAGCACACCATAAACTTTTTAATGCAAACCCAAAACACGATAAAGCAAACCACAAAAGGCATACAAAAAACATGAGAATACCAAACCATAAATCTCGCAATGTAGACCATAACATCCGGTGGTCGTTGACCGTTGACCAAACTCCGACGACCATCGGTGAGCAGATTCCGGCGCCGATAGGCATATTCCGGCCCTGATGACTAGATTCCGACGCCGGTAAGCATATTCCGACCACGGTAAGCATATTCCGGCGACGGTGGCATAATGACAATTATACCTCTGCTTTGATTTTACACTAGGTCAACTCAACTAATAAAAAGTTATCACATCCCTACCTTCCTATTGATAGAAGACTAGTGTTGTCACTACTCACTATAACAACACAAGGGGTGTTGTCATAGTAACCAGTCCCTTCAATCGTATATCATTTAGATTCTTCACATGATGTCTGGATGGTGATAGTAGATGTGGTGAGGCTAGACAATAATTTTTAACGGGAAAGAGAATTGTCGATTCTATTAGTTTCAATTAAAGAAGAACGTGGTACTCGCTCACCTTATAGTTCGTCACTCTCCTTTTGTTTTACCAAAAAGTAAATGAAACAATAGTAGATTAGTAGTTGTCGTCTCTACAATTTACTCTATGCAGAGCAGATAAGATGAACAAAATTTTATTGTGTAGATTCGAAACTCGTCATCCAGCATATTCTGTCAAAGGAAATTACACCCTCATAAGAAGGGCTTATGTGGATCGATTTTTTTAACATCCTTGCGTCAATGTCTTTTCTTTTTGCTCTTGAAGCTTCAACAGAGATTCCCCTGACCAGGGAGGGGAAAATAGATCAGACCGTTAGAAATATTATGGTCGAAATCGAACCGCACAATTTGTTGCAAATCGTAGACCGTTAAGTAGGATCTAGTCTGTATTATTTGATATTTTGAGCTTTTGGTCTAGTCTGGTTTACACCGCGATTTACCGGACCAAACTGTGGACCTAGCCGACTTGTCAATACGTTTTAGTAGCCCTTTCAACCACTCTCCCAACTCCCACAACGAGACCCAGGTCTCAACCTTAATTTTGAGAATCGCGTCCCCTCCTTCCTTCACAACCACATTTCACCAGAGAATAGAGACAATCGCTATGTTAGTGTTTATGACGTTATGGTGCAAGTTGGAATGCTTTGCCTTTGTATCTTTGTTATGTACTAAGATTTAGGGTGTTAAAATTATTCATGCGTGTTAGAATTTATATTTTAAAGCAATAAATAATTTTTTTCTTGGATATTGGTTCAATTTTTGTTAAGTTAACTAAACAAATTGTTAATTTTTCGTTGAGTGTGGTCTATCTGGACCAGACTATACCGGACCAGACTGTACATGCGTGGTCTAGTATGGACCGTATAGTTTGTGGTATGATATGTGGTCTATACTCCAACCTCTCGGTCTACACCATAGACCGTATATAGTCTGGTCTAGACAGAATTTTATAATAATTTGGTTCGTTCCTTGGTCTCATGAATTTTATAATTACCGAAGAAAAATATACCGAATTGACATTTCGACCGGACCAAAGTAGACCAAAGCGGACTGAATGCACTATTGGTCCAGTCCTTAGTCCTAAGATATCTTTCACTATTGGACCAAAATTTTCCTGAGTTTGGTCTGATTCGGTTCCTATCTGATGCCCACCCCTACGTGTAGTGGCATAACAAGTTCTTTCATTGATAATCTGATTATGTATGGGCTACCGTGTCTAGTTGAATTCCGAGATAAAACTGCCAGTACCAGGTGAACTCATATTGCCAAATTAGAAGAAAATGATTGAGAGATTGGGTATGGTGCTCACTAAACCTCCGTAATATGTAACAAGTTAGTCTTATATTTGAGTCATTGTACCTAGGGATGGCAATGAGCCGGGTTGGGTTGGGTTTATCCAAACCCATGGGTATATCCATAAAAAATACCTGGGGTAAAACCCATTGTGTTTGGAAAACTCAAACCCAACCCAACTCGCTAGGTATCCGTGAGTTCATGAATACCCATGGGTTCTGTGGTAAAAAATACACTTTCATTGCCATAACTATTCGCGTGTGACAAATATAGCCAAATTTTGAAAAATACACTCATATAACCAAAAATAAAAAGTTTGTAAAACTTAATTGTCAACTACAGCCATTTCCGTTACTATGCTATATAGTATTGGTGCTTTAATGTACAACTTGAAGTTGTACCATAACATTAAATGTATAAGTTTAGATTGTACCATAAAGGAATTTGTATCATTATGTTATGGTACAACTTTACAACTTGAAGTTGTACCATCACATAAAGGTACAAGTTCAAGTTGTACCATAAAAGAAATTGTACAAAAAGTATAGGTACAATCTGAAGTTGTACCATAACGTAAAGGTACAATTTCAAGTTGTACCATAAAGACAAAAACCTATAGCACCAATACTATATAGTATTGTAAAATTCCTCGTTACTACCGTTAATGTCGTCATGAACGTCGTCATTGCCAAGTGACGTGGCTTCCACCTGGACGACATGTCATTGTCAACTATACTCGGTTTGCACACGTCACCGCTGACTTGGATTCCACCAAGATTTATTTTTTTATTATATAATTAATTAGTTCCCCTTTAATTACCCCATGTTGTGTCTTGCTAAAAATGGTTAAAGAAAATAAGAAAGAAGATGGCACCGAATGAGAGAGAATAGGGCCGATGATGGTGGCGACTCCTCTCTCTCCTCTCCCGTCCTTTGCTCTGGCGACCACCAAAGGGAGATCAGACGCCGACCATGAACGAGGACAGCAATGACGACGACGGTGCTAGGAGGAGGGCTTCATGACGACGGGAGACGACGAAGTCGCCGTTGGCATTGGCGGTTACGATTCCGGGACAGTGGCGGTTATGCCGGATAAGTGCTCTCTCATTTAATTTTTTTATTATTCTTTTCAAAGCTTATCCGTTTTATTTTCTTTAACTATGAATTATTTTTGGATTTCAATTATTCCCAAGACAAAGAGGGAACTCGAAAGGACCTCCCGCGACGACCACAGCCGGCGGAAGCAGGAACCGCCGCTCACGATTTTCTACAACGGAAGGTACCGCGTCTACAACGACGTGACGGAGATGCAGGCCAGAGCCATTATAATGATGCTGGCCAGTAGCAGTAGTCAAGAGATGGCATCAACGACGGACGACAAATCGGTGACGAGCCCCGGGGACGAGCAGTCGCAGCGGTGGGCGGCTCCACCGGAAACTCCTCCGGCGGTGGGGTTGTCGATGAAGAATCATTGCAGAGGTTACTTCAGAAACAGAAGGGGCGAGCCCAGGCCGCCGCGGTGGCGCCTTACGCACGCGCCGTCCATAAGAAGGAGCTTCAGTTTCAAATCAACTACGGCTTCCAGATCCTTGCTCCCTGACTGGGAAACCATTCCCGTTTTGTACAGCCAACGAGTTCGAGTTGGACGGATTTTGATTTTCACTTTTCTCCGCAACTGTGCGCTCCAGCAATTTGCTGCCCAACGCCCTTGTGCGTAGCCGCTCGTGGCGTTTCCCCATCTCTGACCCCCCTTCCGGTGAGTTTTGCCTATTTCTTGCAGGAGTTGCGGGCTGGGATCTTCGGTGAGTCTTTCCAGCGGGTGACGAGTCTTGCTGACGATCAGCCAGGCTAGTGGGTTGCAGTTACATCTTTATGCAGTTACCTCTCCCGTGACTTCATTTTTGTTCAAAACGCTCCGGCCTTCGGACGATTATAATTTCATGGCTGTTAAAACTCTAATGGATAGGCAGTCACAATTCCAAACACGGATCCTATCCTGCATTCAGATAAGTCTATTAATTATTTCTTAAATTCATATTTAATTATTATTATGTTTACGATTGTGTTTGGTTTTTTATGGGAGTTGCAATTGTTTTGTAATTCGATGTCTTTTAATGATAGTGAGGATTTGGTTGTCGTCGAACATGGAGTATATTTCTTCTACTAGCTAGTTGGCTTTGCCATCTTTGTTTTTGTGTTGCAGAAGGCATAGTTTGTATAGCTTGTGAAGCATTTTTGGTGGAGGTCCGGTTGTATTTTAATTTTGTTTGCCCCGTTAGGGTGTCTGCATGTTATTTTGCAGGTACCTTGCACATCAAATCTACTGCTAGGCTATTGGAACTCGACGAATTGGTACTTGAAGGAGTTTGCTGAAAGAAGACTTCCTTTGTGTTTTTTGGTTTATTTATGTTACTAGGCATACTAACAGGGCTGCCCATCGCGTGGCACAAACGGCCCTTGCATTGGTAGCAACCCAGTTGGTTGACTACCGCCTTTATATTTCCACTGCATTGTAACACTCTATCTATTACAAACTATCTATGACAAAAAAAAATAAGAAGGAAGATGAGAGTCACACAGCGACCCTGCCGCTCTCAATCCGCCGCCGCCGACCATAATCATAGCCAACCCACTATCTGCAGCGCGAAGCAACGAACCTGATCCAACCATTTCCCATTCTATTCATTTTCCGTTTTCTCGATGAGATAAGAACACAAATATAGAATTGGTGGGTGGTGGAATCAATAGGGCTCATCTTCTGTCTTTGCCCCGTCGGGATATCTCCGCTGAGTTTGTCGTCGAGCGCTCGCCAGTAGGAGATGCAATTGTGAATGACGTGCTGAGATTGAATCGATTTGTCTTCTTCTAGAACTATCTATCTTCTCCTTCTTCTGTGAATCTAGGATCTACAATCAGGCGCGTCGTTGTCTTCTTACATACACATTCATCTTCTTCCGGTGAGATTGAGAGAGAGAGAGAGAGAGAGAGAGAGAGAGAGAGAGATTGCAGGCAAGATGGAGACGCGACGAACCTTTAGTCGACGAGCTTGCTATTGGAACTCGCCCAGATTCTAATTCGTCAATCCGAACTCTCCCCAATCAATCTTGCCTACCAAATCCGCCACCAATCACCACCATCGTCGTCTTAGATCCAATTGAGTACATAACTAATAGAGATTTGAAAGGGACAGAGGATTTGGGAAGGGGAACGAGATTGAGAAGTCGACGATGACATGATTTTCCAATTTGGAAGGGACGGAAGAATTAGGAATTTCGATGTGCAGATCTATAGGAAGAACAAAGGTAGAATGTAGGATGAGGGCGGCAACCGGCAGGGAAAGCCATAAGGTGGGGGAGACAGCGGGAGGTAGGGATGGCAACCTTGGCCGCCCCGTCGGGTACCCGCCCGAAACCCGACCAAACGGGGGGTCTCAATAACCGACCGCAGTGGGTAATGGCCGGATTCAGGCATACCCGAAACCCGTCAGAAGCGGGTTACAGATGGGGATGGATCGAGAAGTATCCGCCCCGTCCCCGTCCGTCCACAAAACGACGTTGTTTTGGCACCTGGGTATAAAGGCCGAAAAAAGACCCAGAAACCCTAATCCCTCATTTCCTCTTCTTTCTTTCTGTCGACTACCGCCGTTTCCTTTCATCTTCCCCTCTATTTTCTCTCCAGCCAAGCACACGAGCATTGATTTAGCTCAAAAGTTTCGCCGATTCCCCACGAAATCCTCTCCATCCACTGGTTTCTCGCTAGTAGGCAATCATTAATCCTCCAATTTGGCCAATCGGAGGCTTGTTTTGCCGCCGATTTGGCCGGGAAACAACATGCAAACCCCTAAAATGGCTGTTGCAATCTTCGATTCGCAATTATTGGGAGAAATCGGCGTGATATCATCACAGATGACAAATAAGTTCCTTCTCCCTTTTCCTTTCATTTTCCTATCTATTCCATCTTTTTCTGCTTTCATATATATAGTAACCCTGTTGATTGATTTTAGAGTCACCCGCAACCTCAGTTCTAAGTTCTTCCGTTCATCATTACCTTCACTCTGCTCAGAGCACAGTCGAGGTAATCACTTTTAAAACTTCAATTTTCCTAGTTTATTGTAACATCCCGTTCTGGAAAAACCCATATTTCGATCGCTAGAAAGTTTGCGATTTAAAATCGAGCGTTTTGATAGTATTTCGGCAAAAATCGGATTATCGATCGATCGGATAAGTATACGTATTAACTATATATATTATATAATATTATATATATATGGCAAAGGCTAGCGTACGCCCGGGCGTACCTTAGTCTACCGTACGCCCGTTGAGTTTTGCTATTTAGACAATGAATTAACCAAAGTTTGGGACATGATACTATATCCTAACCCCTAATGGGTGAACCCCAGTCTCCAATTCACTAATCCAAAGCATAATATTCATTTAATCTTGAAATGAAAATCAACGGTCCTGATTTGTCAAAATTATTGTTGATTTACTTTTTAAGATTAAACGAATCTCATGATTTGGGTTAGAAAATTAGGGACTGGGGTTTACCCATTAGAGGTTATGGTATAGTATCATGCCAAAAACTCCGATTAATTCACGATCTAAATAGTAAAACTCAACGGGCGTACGATAGCCTAACGTACGCCCGGGCGCACGCTAGCCTGAACCATATATATATATATATATATATATATATATATATATATATATATATATATATATATATATTAATAAGCGGTTGGTATATATAATTTCGCCGGTCCATTTCCATTCCCATCCAATTCTTCTTCTTCCTCAGGTCATGCTCGTGTTTCTTCTCCAGAATTGCCGAATGATCTCCGATTGACTTCAAACTTGCGCCTATGCTTCAATTTGCATGATAGGACCTGAAATGTGACAAAGGAACACAACCTAGCATAAAATAGGCCAAAGAAGCGTTAATGAAAGCTTAAACGATCAAGAAACAAAGGGGAAAACATGTGCAAATATCGAGTCATCAAATCCCCCCACACTTAGCCGTTTGCTTGTCCCCAAGCAAACCTAACTCAAACCAATGCAGCTCTCCAGACCTCTATAGAAACAAACAACCCCGATCGTCGGTAGAGGATTTTCTAGATCATATAGCAGCTTACGAGGTCAACTGGTCTTCTAAGACGTTCCCTATCTCTCTCAATGCGAGTACTAGACTCAAGCCAGGATCATGAGAAGAAGTGGAAGTAAGACAGCCAGTTCATGGATAAAGGGACTCACACCATTCACAACCAAGGACTCGTTGTGCCGGGGTGCTCTTTCACTTCATTTCACCGTTGGAACCCCTTTTTGCACTTTCATTTACATTTCTTTTTCTCTTTTTTTTTCTTCATTCACTTGGCGGGGGTTCCAACTGCAGTCTTTTGCACGGTCGAACCTTATTAGTCGAGCAAGAACAATTTTTGTACACCTGGCGCTCGCCAGGGTACTTCTTTTAACTCCTTTTCCTCAACTCGTGTGGAGGGTCAATGAAATTAAGGGGGGTCGGAAGCTCTATCCGTGCCCTTAAAAACACATCCTCGAGTAGGCAAACCGTTCAACGGGTGGAAGTTTTATTTGTACTGGAGACATCTTAGCTTCACCTTGTAGGAGTACCCCCACTAAGGATCACTAAAATCTCCTCCAAAACCCGATTTTATGCAATGAACGGTGCCACACACGTTGGGCTTACCCCATGTTTAAGATTTTTTATGATTTCGACATGGAGGACCAACTGCTTTTCATTTGCCACATGAGCACCCTGTTCAATACACGAGTCCATAACACAATTCAAACAGAGTCCACATTACCACATGAATTCAACGGTCTTAGCTCCACTAATTCACAAAATCAACTGACACAGCAGAGAGCTAGATAGGAAAAATCTTATACTTCAACATCCTCCATAGTGCTACACTACCTCCCTAGGTTGCACATTACTATAGAGACTGTCAATTCAAAGCATACTGAGCAGGAAATTTGCAAGGAAACACGTACTTGGAGCCCTCAAATTTAAAATAAAATTTGTGCAGTGGACTAGGCTCCAAGCACACAAACAACCAAACATTAACCCGCATACATAATCGAACATCCCCCAACACTTAAGCACGACATTGTCCTCAATGGAGGAAAGATAAGGAGGGTAGAACGAAGTTACCAGATCAAGGATGAATGATGATGGACGGGGCAGGCGGTGCATTCCAGGAAGAGAGAGTAATCAGAACACAAACACCACACAAAATCTCACAAAGGTTGAGTCATTGACTCTAAAATCAAATAACAAAACTGACTCAACCGAGGAGAAATAGAGAAAGAAATTCAAACCGACTGGTTGGGTTGCCTCCCAACAAGCGCTTCTTTCACGTCGTGAGCCGGACGATGGCTCCTAAGTTTCGGTCCATGCTAGAACCTCCTTGAAGTTGAGGTTCTCGTCAATGAGGTGGAGTCGCAAGTCACGAGCATGTGGTATGACTGGTGATGGAAGCTCGTGCACTTGATGCAGATGAAGTCTCCATCCTCGAGACCTCTTCTTCTCTTCTCTCGTCCCATTGCCCCAAACCAGATATGACAGCATCGATTGGCCACCATCGCGTCCACCAAGAGGGACCGATGTCGATGTGGCCTTGGTCTGGCAAAGAGACACTGCAAATGGGTCCTTGCTAAGCAGTTCCTAGAAGTTTGGTGGGGATATTACTTGTATTATAGGGCCG